CGGCTATTTGGAAATTCTTAAATGTCAATATGAAAAATAAAAAGCTTTTAACTACAATGCCGATTCATAATTCCAGATATTTCTAGCCTCAAATTTACTATGTCGCGTGTGCAAATGGTAGATAGATGCCACTCGTCATCAATACAATGCTTGCAATTTATTAGTTCATGTAAACGTTCTAAAATGCTCCATGCTTTCCAATGCTCCCTTTTTAGAGAAAGGATTGCACGCATTAAACTCGATTTAAAAAAGGTATTGATGAGATTCCCCCTTGGATTGATCCTGCGCATGTTTCATATTTATTTACGCGAATCGAAAACTCAAAAATATTGCGCTATTTTATTTGTGCACATATACCACGTCATGTATACCATAAAGGATAGATAGTTTGAAGGCGACTGGCGCAACATTGTTATGAGCTATCAATAGTTTTTAACTTGCGCTATATTATCTGGATATCTGTCGTCATTTTTATTAGGAGTGTTTATAATACACACGAGTGATATTGTTACATATCTAACCTTGAGTTTCAACTAGTTCATCTACATACCGTACCTTAGTGAGATTTATAGGGGTAAAAGTACAAACATAGACTTAAATTAGTAAAAACAGAATTGATTATAGACTCGGTAAAAACGATGTGGACTCGAAATCGAATCCGAGTCCAAAAAATGCCTGGATTCGAATCTAATCAGAGTCCGGATCTGAATCCCGGCCCATCTCTACTGCTCAGTGGGACGTCTTGCATTCCTTGGATTGAACAATCCCCTTTAAATTTGACTTGTTTATCGTCGTAGCTAATCGAAGCAATTCTTTCACATGGGTGTCAGTCAGTTCAGATCAATGCTTTGATGTCACGTCTTTTAGGGTAGAAAACACAAATTCTCAGTCTGTTGACCAAACAATGGGAATACCCTAAGCGCAGCTTGTATATTTTTTCATGGGCGTGCTTTTTCATAACTCAATGGTGCCTTCCCTCGATTTAAAGCGTATTTAAGTTGGTCTTCGTCTGAGACTACAGGGAATTTCAAACTATCCGTTTCATAATTAAATGAGTCGTCGTCGTATGTGGTGGTCTATCTGCACTTTGTATACTTCACCCAAATGGTAAATTGCGATTTTCTCAGCCGTTGTAGTGCAATAAGTGTGTCTCACAACAAAGAATGTAATTGTGACGTAATAATGGACGATTACATGGTAAAGTGAATGAAAGCACATCTTCGATGTAAAAGAAGAATGCACAATGAATCCTAATACTGTATGTTTAATCAAAAATGATAAATCGTAGTTAATGATGAATCGTAGTTTTCAACTTATTTTTTCAAGGCGAGAAGAGCCGCATGAAAACGGTTCAAGAGCCGCGGGTTGGCCACTCCTGGTATAATTCATAGTGAAATTTCGCTTAAGTATATCTGCCATAAAGATGTGTGATATTCTTAGGCAGCAAGCTTGAATATCATTTTTTCTATTAAGATTGTTCATCATCAAAATTCGTAGGCTACCTCTTATCATGTTCTACAGATTGATTTATGGCATCCTATCATAAATGATACTATATGCAGAATTGTTCTGACTTTTGAAGTAATCGCCATGACAATATCCTTATATTTTACTTAAACTTACTCAAATAATATTATTTTATCAATGTATAGTAAAATATGATGAGCTGTATATAATTTTGGCTTCGCAATTGAAATTTAGCATCATTACTTGAGATTGATTACCATTTATAGGGCCTTCTTTTTTATATTATTAAACCCTCTGTACATCATTCTGTTTCATTATTTTTAAGTACCCTACATGAAAACCCGCTTCACTTAAACCAGCGGTTCCCAAAGTGGGCGAAAACGCCCCCTCGTGAGCATTTGCCATGACTTGGGGGGCATTCATAGTGATTTGGGCAATAGGGGGGCGCTGGCTGTCAAACTGGGCGATTGGGGGGCGCTGACACCTGTACGGGAACTCACAAGAAGTATGATATTTTATGCCATTTACTCCTATGTTTTGGTTCGAATTAGTTTGCTTGTGTTTCTCGCTCAACGTAGAATAGGTCACATGACTTTTCAAAATCCGTATTGTTTCACAATAATACATAACACATACGGCATATGCCCCCATCACTATGCACTGCACGTTTCGTTGTACTGTTTTGAAAAACAGCTCTCTTTTACTATCGGGTTCTATGGTGCTTTGAAGCGGAAGTGTTAGTACAACACCCTTATTTTACAATTTTGGTTTTGTTGAGAGCAACATGTGAGAGCTGGACATCTGATTGAACTGACGTACGCCAGATAGGAGCATCTCCATGTTGCGACTTAACTGGTTCATAAGTAATACATAAATTGGCAAAAGGCAAAGATGAGCCTGTTGTTATATCATGTTGTGTCTGACATTGTTTAAAGTCAGTTTATCGTTTGTGTTGTGTAATTTCAAAATATTGAATCTCAAAATATGGAAATAAATGGAATACAGGGACTTATGCAGATACAGCGTGGTTCCCAGAAATCGAGACCAATAATTTTTCGATTACTTATACGAAAATGGAGTGAATTATTTAATTTTTTCTACACTTAAACTTCTGTTTGCGTATTTTTGTACCCAAAAGTTGCGGAAAATCTAGGACGTTTTGCACAAAAATTATGTTGTTCCAAGAATATGTTCCAAATGCCCTCCTCGGCAATTGCATTCTTTTTGCAACATTGTCAATCATTCTTCTTTGAGTATTTCTTTATTTTATTTCTGCAATTGCAGTCTTGAGTTCACCAATCATTTGGAGATCGTTCTGATACAAATTGTCCTTTGAACTCCCTACATATCGTAATCTGAGAGGTTTTAGTCCGATAATTAAGGTGCCCACTGGATGTCACTGCTTACTTCTCTCTCAGGAAAGCAAGCTTCTGATTTGATGTATGCGGGGTCACCTCGTCATGCTTGGACCGCTGCTGGTTACCTCTATCAATCCCTGCAGTAATGTCCAAATCTTTTCTCGTCCCAAACACCTAATGTTCGGTATTCACCATTTGAATCCACCTCTTTCATTTCCATGTCCTGATCGCAGAAGGTGCGCTTCATCAGATAACCAAGTGAGTGGTTGAAAATTTTGCGAAACTTCTAAGTATAATCATGCGCAAACAGAAGTTCAAGCGCAAATGAAATGAAATAATTTATTTGGAGATAGTAAAGAAATTTTTGGTTTCTATTTTCCAAATAATCCTAAATTTCCAAAAGCGAAAATGCGCCACTACCATTGGGTTTACACTTTAAAACTCATGTTCAGTGTTCCATCTTTTTGGGAACAGAATCAAATTGAAATATCCTCAAGACTCAAGGAGAGATTCCCTTGACAGTGTCAGACGAGGAAACTCGGGACTGTTTTTGACTGAAATGAACCCAAATAATATCAAGCTTGTGGCATTTTTCTAGGCTCAACCTTCAAATTATACTAATGATAAATGGAGAATGAAGTTGCTTTGACTTTTTTGTTAGGGGGACGTTTGCGCTGGCAGAAAAAAGTTTGGGAAACAATTGCAAAGTATGCCTTTTTTGTAATTGGAACAGCGAAGGTCTGCCACATTTCCTGATAAATCATGTGATTAATAAACCAAGTAACTTCCTAATTATTGGAGATAAGAAGACATGATGATAATTATGCTATCTGGTCAAACACTGGCTGGCCACTTTTTCGCTTTCATCTAGCATATTGTAATCTTCAATTTGGCCGATATACCTCAGTCGAATAGTGTAGAAATAACATAGACCTGGAAGACCCTTTTATATCAATGTTTATGCAAAAATTATGACATTAAATAATCTTTAATTAATCATAATCTTTGTATATATTTTAAAAATTACTAGAGGGTTGAACATAGTGTTTCCACTTTTTGTAAAGTGAGAATTAATTGCGAAGGTGATCTTATAAGGACCTTCTGGAAGTCAAATTATCATTCAAATGTACCGGTAAATACTTGAAAACTGTTAATACTGCATAGCTCTAACCAAAAATGTGATTAATGTCAACACTGATATACCATTCTGTACAGCATTCATGTTTATTTGCACTTCATCGATTTAGCTTCATTTCATTCATTCTGTGAGAGCAGTTTGCCTTCGGAAAACACTATAATATTCACATGTAATGTTACACTCAATCTCAATTATTTTCACTTACAACTTGTAAGAGCAGCGTCAGGTATACGAAGTTTAAGTTACTCCCGACTCCAAAACCATTAGCAGAAAATGATCCACGGCTGCTGGTTGACAAAATTTTATGCAACAAATCTTCAATTCTCCATAGTCGATGCTTTTTGGATGCATAGTGTAACTATGGATCGTTTTGTTATTATGTTGTTGTTGTTCTTATTCTCGTTGTTCTTTGTCACAAAAAAAACGCTTTCTCTTTGATTACTGGACCAATCTCTTTAAAATTTTTAGTACTTAAAGATTGAATTTTTCACTAGAAGGGTATTACTTTTATTTATTTGAAATATTTCGAGAGCTCTATGGGAGTGTTTTTTTTGTGCTCTATGACGTCATCAAAATTTTCCACTATGTGGCGGTTCGGCAAACGCATATCAGCGGATCACATGTTCACCGAACGTCGGAAGTTCCCGTGTTTGGTGATAGTCTGAATTGGAAGTTTTTCTTATCGGGACGGTAGACTGTGGTACCCAGAAAAGCTATGCTATGTTTAGCGTCGGAATTCACGTTGAAACGGAATCGTCACAGGATCTGAAAAATCTGTGTGCCGGTCTATCTGTCCCACAAACGAGGTGCGTATGATCTTACAGGTACTGGTAAGTTACCATACCGCAATCAATATATATTGGGAATCAATATATTTTTATTTCGTCCTATTATTCAGAAGTGACTCGGATCACTTGGTATTTCAATTCATGCTGAAATTGAATGGAAAAGAATAGATCATTGCCACGGGACATGGGAAGTTTTTTATGAGAAGTGTTTGACTGCGCTACGGTACAGGATACGGTAATACAGAAGTGACTCAAATCATGTAATATTTCAATTGATGTTTAAACATAATCAAGAAGAATGGATCATTGTCACAGGACCTATAAAAGCTATGACAGTCCCTGTATCGTCACGGTACCTCGATACAGGTACTGGTGGTTCACCGCATATTTTGGGGAATGGCGTTTCTATTGACAAATAATAATGATATTCAACTAGCAGATAAATAGTTCAGATATCTATAGTAGGCTACTTGTGACTATAAAAATATGGAGAGTCTTCAAATAGGTTGACTGTTCGGGAGAATTCAGTAGAAACAAACAGAATGGATTATATTATATCCATGATTCATGTTCAAGATCAGAGGCAGTAACATGACAGGAAGATGTTTGGTCAAAACAGCAATTCCATGAATGTCACAGAGTGACATTTCACACATTTTCATCAATCAATTTTACTATTTCAAGGTCTTGGTGGTTTGCTTTTTTTAGAATGCCAATTGGTAGCAGTAACACTGATGTATTTACCATAATTCCATTTTCACTTTCAACCGAATATTTTTCAAACGATGAGACAAAACAAGTGATGTCACGGAGTGACAAAAAGTTGAATGCATAAAATGACTGCAAAATATCAACCAAATTTGTCAAAAGGTTCATGACATATCAATTATAATAACTTGTCTCTGTATTCTAGAGATATTAATCTCTACATTTATACAAAATTTATTGTACAACAAACATTTTTTAGGAAGCAGCCCAATTATACAGCCCAACTAGTCGCAATCAGTCACTCCGTGACGTCACAGAGTGACAAAAATTCCTTATCAATAAAATGGTATTGAGAATGTTGAACAATTAGCTGTACCAAGTCAAAATTGGTTATCTGTTTGAAATTACAAAACATTTAAACGAAAAATTAGGAAACATGATATTTTTTCGTCATTCTGCTTCACTGCTTGTGTCTCCCACATTAATATGCTAAACGATTGCACTGACTTTAATAATCCATAATTATAGTTACCGTAAATAAAAAGCTATGTTGCACAGCCAACATGAAACAGACATAACTATTCCACTTCTATATATTTGGAATCTCTTTGCAGTGACTTGACTAAGTATGGGCAATTCAAAATACAGAATTCGAAGGATCTGTTAATGCAATTCAGTTTAAGCATCTCCGCACTATGCGCCGATTTTTGGTATTTGGATATCTAATTTATTAACCATAGAAAGGCATTTTCTCTTGCGTTGAAGTCTTTCTCATTAGGTAGTACTTGCATCTGCTTGCAAAGCACACATAGGAGCAGTAGGCTCCAAATACAGTAGTCTTAGTCTGCATATTCGGAACTAGATGTCGTTGTTAAAACTTGAGATTTAATATTGTTTGTGAATTATTTGAATTCACTTACGTCCTTTACACAAATGTCGAACTATATTGCAAAACAATGCATTTTGCCATATTTATTCTGCCATTCCAAAAAATTACATATTTTTCTAATTGAAGTCTACAATAAGTTCATATTGTCCAAAACCAGCAAATGTTAGGTCAAATATTTTGGTCACCGATAGTTTTAAAAAGTTGCCATTGCCATTCAATCATGTCATTCAAGTTTCCTTATGGGTAAGATCCAAAGTAAGAAGGCAAAGCGGAGGAATTTGCAGTTCAAACCCAATATTATAGTACTTTGCGTACAGAAAAATAATATTTCCAAAAAATGGCAGATTTTTGTCACTTCGTGACGTCACGGTGTGACGAGATCTCTCGAAGTGCTGCGAAAGAACAACAAACAACTATCAAATGCCAAATTGGTAAATTATTGGGCCCAACCCCCAAAGTGACATCTCAGTTTTTGGGGCAAATAGTTATTGAAATATATCAGGAAGTTGAAATAAAGTAGAAAAATTGTCACGGAGTGACAACACAAGGCAAATTCCCATCAGCTCTGTTTAGCCCAGTGTTGCCAATAGTACACAGGGCAATATTTGGACCTCCAGAAGTATGCGCACCAAGATGGCGCACAACCTGAACATAGTATGTGTGTACCGGCCAGGACTCAGGTTGTGCGACATCTGTACTTTCTCTGTGATTTTAAGAACTACAAGATATGTCCTACACTTTCTGCAGTTAAATATTCTAATTGGGCAAAATATAATTTTTACCAAATTTTTAACTAATTTATGGAATTGCTGAAAAGCAGTTTATATGCATGGGATTTATTATATGATTGTTTGACATTCTGGGGTCACAATCACAAGGCTGCTGAAAGCATGCAGCCTTTTGTGAATAAAATCTGATTATACGCAATGCTGCAGATTTTGATAGCTATGTTATGTTGCAAATTGCTTCATTTACCCTGTTTTTCGTGTCGAGAAATACTGTTTTAAACTAGTTAAGTTTATGCCACGAGAACAACCATTTCTAGCGTAGACTGCTTGTTTTGTGTAATGAAAAGTGTGCAAAAACAAAGATAGAATCGTTGCTTTTTATTTTCATACTGTCACCAATTTCAGTATCTTTGTATAAATTTGATGTCCACAAATGGTGCGTAACACATGTAACTTATTAAGCCTGATAGGATCTTAATACAACCAAATATTCAACCAGTAAAATGGGAAATAGCACAACACAGGTTTAAAACAGAATGCGGAAAATGGCATAAACCAATACTGCCACATAATGTTATCGTAAAAATGTTTAACTTCAAATCCTAAACATCTGCATCCTGATTAAAATGTTTGAGGCCCAATAACTATGGCAGCTTACTTTCTCTTTTTTATGGCGAAGAATGTAGTGGGCTAAATGACACTTTACCTGCATTGAATGTGAATGTAAAGGGTAATCCATCATATGGAGATAATGCTACTTACACTTGCACAAAATTTCCTTCAACAATTGTGGTAGGACAAAAGAATTACACAGAGTATGTTCGTGAATGTCAAGCTTCTGCTGAGTGGAGTGGTGATGATAACGTGTCTTGTTGGTATTGTAAGTGTTTTGTATATTGCATTTCTCGTAATGCAAATAGTTTTTTATCATACACATATTCATTACTGCCCTTCTATGTTCATCATTGACTCTACTTGTTAGTTGTATCTTTACTATAAAGAACTTAATAATATAAATACGTATATAGGCCATATATCAAAATTTAAAAGTTACCCAAATCCTTGCATGCAGTTAATGTTTGAGTTTATAGAATTGTTGTCCTTTCGAAATTTTTAATTTTTTTTAGCACCTGAACCTGAAGTGAGAATAACTCCTGATAATGAAAGCAACGTATATTATGACAAAGCAAACATTAAACTATACTGTGAAGGTAATCGAGGATATCCAGCATCCTCTGATGAATGGTATATTGCAACATATTGGAATGAAACAAAAACAGCTGTAAGTGATATGCACTGACTGGTTGTTTGTTTCATGTTAAAAGAAACTGTAAAATTTCAGCTTCAGTCTTCCATTTTCAGATTAGCAATTCATTGTCTTTGTCGCCTGCTTATAATAAGGCAAACATTTCTTGTGAGGTTGCAAATGAATACACAAAAGAATATGGTGCTAATGACAGAGTCTCTTCAAGTTCAATTTATCTTAGAGTTTTATGTAAGCAAGCATTTTTCAACTTCACAATCCATACTGGTATACTTGACAACTTTTTCATTTATGTTTCATTTTTTTTAGTCGCCCCTCAAACAGACATCAGCGTTGTTACTGTATCGGCCATATCTGGCGGAGATTTCATACTCGTTTACAATTTTTATGCAAACCCATTTATACAGAAACCAAATCTTACACTGACACATACAGGTGATATTTTTTTGTTTTGTTAGGAGCATCCTGTTTTTTTTTAACTATAATTCACCATATTCTGCAGGTTTCAATGAAACATCAAGTATTTCTTTGAGTAGTTTTGACCTAGTTGATGATGAAAATGGATATGAAATGAGACAAACTTGTAGTTACCTACTATCAAATGTAAGATTAAGTGTATATCATTACAGCTCTTTTCATTAGTATTTTTTTTTCATATTTCTTTTCAATGGGTATTTATGATTCTTAATGCATTTTACTTCTTGATGTAGATCAAGAGGGGAGCTGACTCTGATGAACATTATGGTCGTATCGCTCCCCCCCTGTCTTTTCCAAATTAACTTGTGCATTTTGTATGAAGTTTATTGTTTTCTGGTTGACGGAACAATAAATCTATCTTTCTCTTACTATTTATTAATCACAGTCAAGTTTTCCAGAAATATGTATTATCTCACTATGTCATTGCACGACAATAATTCTCCAAGTTTTCCCTTTTTTCTGAGGCATAAATATAGCGTACACAAGAGTCAAGATACTTAAATATCTTTATGATACATGCAAAAGTTGTTAGAGTTAGGTGAACTTACGCAAATGATCTGTGTTTACGGGTTCCTTGAGGACACTGCAGTTTCAAGAAACTATTTCTTTCTGCATTGATGATCTTGTATAATAGATTGGCATTTTGTCTGCCAAAATCATTTAGCTGCTTTCCTCGTGTTTCCACTTTTAATCGGTACCAGCAACTGTTGCTACAGCTTCATATATTCAATAAGTCTTGTTCTATAAACGTATATAATCGTATTTTTATGAAATGATACTATATGAAGCTGTAAACATATAACAAACAATTTTTTGCAGATATCAGACAAAAATTCTGGAATTTACAGTTTGGTTGGTTATTCGAATGATGAGAAATTTAGAGACACCCCATTAAATATGAGTATAAACTTAATCGTTGTGGATAGTGTCACTACAGATGCACAGACAGTTACAAACACACCGACATCTGTTCCATTGTCTGCTATAATTGGGGGATCAGTAGCTGGACTTCTGGTTGTTATTCTCATCACAGTTTATGTTATAGTAAAAGTTAAACGGAAAAGCCACCATGAAAGTATGTTTAGAGAATAAAATCATTTTTTTTTGTTTTCCTGTAACTAGGAAGTTAAAACTCAACTTTTTGCTTCACCTTGCGGTTTGCAGTCATTGTCATGGTATTTATTGTTCAGTCATTATTTGATTACATAGGCCTATTATATTTGTGAAGAAAATTTAAATGATTTTTCTTCAACATTTAGAAAATGCAGAAGTAAAGGAAGATAAGGAAAATCCCCTTTATGGCACTTCTGGATTTGGCAGTCCATCAGAATATACAATGGTTGACAAATCAAGTGAGTCTTGCCTGAATTACTTGCCAGGCTGCTTATATCAATTAATATCGAATTCGAAAACTTTTGGTTTTGTTAGAGACCTGTTGTTTATTCTTCTCGATTATCACAGCTATCATCTTACAAGGATGAGTGCTGTACAGTTTTGATTAAGGGTGGGCAAAATCGAATATTTTTTTCGAATCGAATAGTTCGAATATTTTTATCGAATAGTCGAATAACGAATATTTTTTTATACACAACAGGAGGTCTACAACGTCGGTCGATACTCCCTTTGGAAATTAATAAAGACATTGGAAAATCGGCTACAAAGCGTTTTTTTACTGGTTATTTTCGTCATAATCGCTGATTGTTTTTGTCGCCGTGACCGTTTTTGCGGCGATATATAATCTATAATACCGCCCTTTCTGTTATTTGCGAGTATTGATTCTTTCGGGTCGGCGGACATCGACGTTTATATTTCGGGTTTACCCGTGCGTTCACGTCGGCAACAGCTGTTAAAATCATTAAGGATTGATGTAAAAACCCATATTAATATTATTCTCATTTTTATCATTTGCGTTGGCTTTCATATTACTTATCATCCTTTGTAAATTTACCGTCACAATATTAAGCGAACCGTAATATTATTATCGATACCGAGATGTAGATATTTATTAAGACAATACCGTAATTAACTTTGCTATGCTTTTCTATGGTGTCTATGTTACTTTACAGATAAACCTCGCAAAGCTGAGATTGCGTCAATCCCGAATGTTGATTTAAAATAGTGACTAAATAATTCGGATGCGTGGCCATATGACGAGATGACGTTATTAAACAGCGCTACTTGAATAATAATTTACATATGCGACCTAATGCTGAAAAAAATTGCGCTTTTTTCCTTTTATGTCTAATAGATGGCCAGGCGCTAATTATAACTAACTCTTCCAAGTTCCGACGTTTTCTTTCAACAAACCGCGTGATCATTGTAGCTAATATCGTTACCGAGTAATTCACAATTTTGTTTACGGAATTTGCGAATTCACTTTTACTTCTCTTGACAATTTTGATAATGTCACGCCCTATTTATTAGTGCAAAAATGGTCAAAATATAACGAATGTAATCATTTCCGACGATACAACATTCGTAACGAGACAGTGCGCGTTGTTACACCGAAATTCTCGATTGATTTTACGCCATACTCCTGTTCACGATTTCTACACTCCACCCGCCATGCATGCCCGAGTGGAATGTTTACACTTTTGAAACATTATTTGGTCAAGAATGAAAGGGATCACTAAAGAATTATTTGAAAGTACATTAAAAGAACTATGTCCTGCCACTTCTTTTCTGGTCATAGCTTGTTCGTGTTATACTATCTATGTATGGTTTCACACAAAAGTTAATTCAACTTTTAATTTTCGTTAAACAAATTTATGTTTGGTTCATGCATGAAACGGCTAATCACGTGCTGCCCATCATACGGAGTTTAAAATCTGGAATATTTATTTTAAATACCTCATCTGATTTAACGTTTCTAAATTTAGGGAGCGGTGTCGGTACCTCTTTGTGCAACATAGGGAATTGAAATGAACAATTGAAACGCAAAGAAAACAAATAACACTACAACGCGAAGACGATTTTTCAAATTTGTCGCTTTTGTCTCTTAGGGAGCGTTGTAGTTGAATTCTCGCGCAATTCATGATCGGTTCAGAGACGTTCTGTGTCCAAGTGAAGCAACGCAGATCACGTGGTACCCGATATTCGAATAGTAAAATGCCATTCGAATAATTTAATATTCGGTTCGCTATTCGAATATTTTGCAAAGCCCTAGTTTTGACCAGCTATTTTTAAAGGAAAAACTGTTAGTAGTCATTTCAGAGTTACCTCAGAATATCTTGGCATAGAAAGGAAAAAGTAGTACGGGGAGCTTTCAAATTTTTCTGTTTAGTTTATTAATAAGAATATTATCAATTATATATACCGGTAGACGTCTGTCCGTTTTTATAAGACCAAGGAATGGCTAGTCTCCCATATATCTGAAATTGAATCCATGTAATAGAATGGGGTTATCCTTGTGGTTAACGGGTATGAATTTTTTGGTCTTTATTAATATTATTGTATTCTTGTTATGATTTTATTCCACACAGAAAGATAGTATTGATGCCATGTTCTAATACAACTTTATTTTTCAAAACTTTGTGTGAAGACTACATATCATTATAAAATGATTCAAATTGTTAATTACCGGTAATCATATACAATCCTTGTTTTCGTGATTGCGGTTGTCTAGTAGTCAGAGCATTAGGCCTAACCATGTTTGTTCCATTAGTCGGAATTGACAGGTTAACCTTCAATGAGCTTAATTTTGTTCAAGGCAATTCCAAACCAAGATAATTACAGCTTTAAATCAATAAAAACGTGGGTACACAGATAGTGATTATAGTTCTATTTTCTGAATGTCCTATCTTGTTTGTTTGTGAGGCAATTTGAGCTGTGACAGAGTTTAGGCATATTGGTACAGTTGAACCTGTGGCAAAATAGCCTCTGTTCTGAAATTAAATACTCCATTTTGAGGTATTATATTTATTTAAAGTCCAGTATTGTCATATGAGCAAATTGATGAGTTCAATTTTTTACAACTAGATATTGATGAATGAATTCAGTTTTATTTTTTAAATTCTCACATCAACCAATATCCAATGACATTTGTGTCATTAAGATAAGAAATTGAAGAATGTTGGTTGTCACTTGTGATTCTTTCAAGTATTTTATTTTTTTATTGAAAGCTCACAATTTTGCTGTGAATAGACTTACATATGAAACAAAAAAGGTGATAGTATATTATGGAATGAAAAACATTGTTCTATTTTGTTAATATACCATTTATAATACATGTCATTGAAATATCAGCTGTCAGCTATTTTGATCTAATTGGTAATGTTTTTATTAGATGATGCTAGTTCAAGCAAGGAGGAACGTCTGAACCCTCTTTATGATTCTAACTCTGCCACCCAGGGAGGAGTAGAAGAAGCTTATGCTGCTGTGGATGTAAGGAAAAAGAAGAAAAACAAAGCCAATAAAGGTAAATACCTATTTTTCTTGCTCTCCTTTCGATAAATATTAAAATCCAATCCTAACCTTACAGGAACTGAAAATGCTGCCTTTTCTTCTGAAAGTAATGCAGCTGTTTATGCTGCAGTAGATAAATCAAAGAAAAAGAAGAGTGGTGAGTATTCCATTTATTGTTATTGATAAAAATAGTAAACTTGATTAATTGCATAATGATTAGGTACAATTTACACAGAGCTTGTGCTTTCGATGAGGTGTATGTTTCTAATTGTTGTTTTTACTACTCGTACTGTAGTTATTTTTGAAGTTTGACAAATTTTATACTTATACAGATAAACCACCCGTTGAAGCTGTCTACAGTGAAGTTAATAAGAAAAAAGGTTAGTATGGTTGGTGTGCAGAAAATTCTCCACAGAAAATCTATTGTTAAAAAAACCTCCCAATGAACAGTTGAATTTTATTTGGTTGGCATATTCATACAGGATAGTATTTATTAAGGTCACGGATAATATTTTTCTAAGTTCACAGCACAGGGAATTTGCTGGGTGGAATTTTTTTCCTGGAAATGTATGACTCATTTTTTGTTTCCTAAAACTCGCTGATTCAATTGTACTTGAAAGTTATACATATAACACTAAATGTTGGTTAAACAGCATTTTGTTATTTTTTTGAAAATTATGCTTGGGAGTCATAATTTTAAGATCATAAAAAGATTGGTATACAAGAATTTAAGAAAAACTGATAATACTAGCTGTATCATGGGATTCACTAACACATAATGTTGTCACTTCCTCCCAAAGTCCTATTACTCATGTCCTATCTACATTTTTTATTAAATTCAATATTTTCAGGTTCAAAAAATGATACTTCACTCCATGGATCTTCCCAATAATTACATTGTGTTAATTATTCCAACCAAAGCCGAAGTATTGAAAATCTTATTACTTCGATTTACTGTATATATATATTCTCCAGCATAAATATTGATATGTTCAAAAATTAGAAGAAGTATAGCAGTAATACAAAATGGACAGGTGGTCCAAAGTTGAAAACTTTGATGAACCTCATGTTGTTTAAAGTGTTGGCATTTAAAATATCTTCAGTGGTGTTCTATTCACTTTCATATTTATACAGAGATCAGTGCTATATAACACACTCTGTGATTCGTCAACATTCAATGTATTTCATTTGAATCCCACAATACCTAACAGTTCTGTAACCTCAAACCAATTGGAAATTATTTTAATTTTTATGAATATATTATTTTGGTGTGATCGCAATGCCAGGAAATTCTTCGTTGATTGCACAGTCTTTGCCTTTCCTACTCCTTCCTATACATTCCACAACCATGCATTGCATATGGGCTTCGCAATGGAATTTATTTAAGGCAATTCTGTTTTCTACTTTTTAGCAAATTCGCTAAAAATTTCTGGTATCTATTTTCTTGAATAGTTGGAAAAATTATAATATTTTGAGCCAAAAGGTCATGACTAGGATAAAGCGCTATCGAGTAAATCAGTTTTGAATACTTGTATTTATATTTGCAGTTTATCTTCCAGTAGATAGTTTTTTTTTAATATTTTAACATAAAATGCACTCTAGTTGTTTTTGATATGCCTAAAATGTACTAATGCACTAAGTCAAGTCACTAATTTATGCTTCAATAAAGGAAATTTTGTGTTATCCTAATTAATTTCACTGTCATAGGTCATCTATGCAATTAGACTGTGAGTCAATTATTCTGCTTTTGCTTTCTCCACTGCTGTTAACATTTTCGGGGTGTTGAAGTGTTGTATTATCTTTTCCGTTATAACTTTCATCAGTCTTTCATATTAGTTGGGCACCTGTGCTGATTTACGGTCTTTCTTAGTTAGGTTTTGGAGGTTGTTTTAAACTTAGTTAAACACACATATAACGTGTGAAATAGTAGTGTGAGCTATTTATATTATGCTTTATTAATTTTCCTTCCTGTCATCATTGTACTTGTAACTCACCCTTCATTCTATTTTTGCAATATATAGTGTTATGCTCATTTACTAGCCAATTTGATATCTACAAACTTGTTATTGAGTGAGCACTGGCATGTTTGTCTATTTTTTACCAAGAATTAGCATTTTGAAAAGAAAATAAGATCTCTTTATTCGCCAATCAATTTTCTATAAATGCCATTTATTAGGCAATGGTAATGCAAAATAGAGTGAAAATTTATATTAATGAAAATACAGATTTGGTTTATCACCAGCAATGGTCAAATATTGTAGACTGTAGTGTTTTAAAATTTATTATTTTATCTTTTCTATAAATGTGTTTCTCTGCTCTTTATCAATATTTGTAAATAAAAAGTGATTCAAGTCAAAAGTGGTTATCAGTTATGGCAGTGAAATGAATTTCTGTAATTTTATATTGTTATCAATGACATTTTTATGATCATTTTTATTAGTGCATTAAGACATTACTTGAATATAATATGAATTGTTAAAGTGAAAGAAGTAGAGACTCAATATGAGAACCGTATTATGCTATGCTATTTGTGTATTTATGATTTTCCCAATTATCTCAATCTTATGTTTTCAAAATGTAAGGAAAAAGAATATCTTCATTTCTATGAAATTACGGTAGATAGTTCATTCGAAAGCAACTTGGTTTCTTAAGGAAAAGTGATGTAAATTAGTGTAAATGTTTTTTTTTTCAACAAAGAGTTAATAATAATGCTTTTTATGTTGTATATTCACTCTCTGTATTGTTTCAACTTGTAGCCACTGAGATTTAATTTTTGTTTCTTCATAATCAATGTATATGGTGAAAAGTGATATTATTTTTAGTCATAACTTTATTCATTTAATTATTTTTCATCATTATTCAAAGATACAATTTTTAGGAGATGACATTTTAGGGAAAAAAATATGTAAATCTTAATAATATTTATAGCCCGCCTCAATATCAATATTCATTGTTTAAAATCATCATACTTGTTCTGAACGGAAAATTTGCTATCTTTCACAGCTGCTCAATGACTTTTATATCTTAAAATGCTATGCATATTGCCACCGATAAATAAATAAATAAAAAAAGCTCCGTGATTTTGTTTTGTTTTATTGAATTAATAAATTGGCATATCTTCTATAATTTGTTCCAGCTTTGTAGTGTTCATTTCAAAAGTGATAGAATATGCCCCCAAAGAAGTCGTAAAATGTGTTTTATATGCTTTTTACTTTATTGAATGAAATTTTATGTAAATGGAATATCTATTAATTTGTATTGAAAAAAGTAATTAAATCGTTTAACATGGAGTGAATTACCACAAGTGTTTTAATTTACCGACTCGTATGACCAGGGTGCTAAAAGACGTCATTTGTAAACTGATGTAAAAAAAAAGAGAAAATGTAATGGCGGTCTTCAGAAATAAGCCAAAACTCATATCATATCGTCAGTATAATTAACACGGCGTAGTTAGTTTTATACAGTAGGTTCGTGGCATTACATGTTCACCCTAACAGCAACGAAGTTTGACTCCTATACAATATGCTGGTCGATCATTATTGCGACGATGCTACAGATAGCAATACTAGCTGGCCTGAAAATTTTATTGGTTGAGATCGTTCATGTTTACGAAACTGACAAATATTTGTACTGATAATCAGTTGCGCTATTTCGATAATGCCGTGGTTGAAAATACCGTTTCTTTAGTTCGAGTGTGGTCATGCTCGTATATGCGTATGACAAATATTATCTTTCGACTCATATACTGGGTCCAGCGTGATTTGTGTTGTACTGAAAAATATATTTTACAAACATAAATATATAATACGGTCACGATGATTTATTCTGAGAACATGCAATCAAATATTTTACTTATATATACAGATCCGATTTTTCTAACTATACATGCTTGTGTCAGTTGTGTGGTTATCCACTATAATAAAGCGAATCGCGAATTTAATAAGGCGTCGGAATTAGCTGTAGTATTTGGATGTGGTCATAACGTTTGACCGTGTTTTCCGTGGATAAAATTAAACACAGCCCAACCTGCTCGCTTGTTTGCGTTTGCAATCTGTTTCACTTTTCTGTTGTCTATATGACGAACGATCTGATTCATTACGTACTGTTCAATAGACGAAGATATGAAAGTGCTGCTGTTACCAAGGAAAACTCATAATATGCTGAAATAGGTAAACATAATATGCCTGGTGTACGCGGTTCCAAAATGTCAAAATCCAGGTGGACCAAAGAGAACCCCTAAAATGGTAATATAAATACGCATAATATATCTAATGTACGCGGGTTTATTAAAGAGTCAAAATTCGGGACGGCAGAATTGGAACCGTCGCTTCGAACAATGTTATAAGAAAGGACATACACGTTTGCATTGGCATCGCATACAACGCCAGAATTCAGACATTGCTTATAGCCCGAATGTCAGCTTTGCTTTGCTATTATGAGAAGTCATATTGGGGGTTTCACATGCTGTGGCGAGGTAAAATTAAATCAGGATGGTGAACAATCATTCTTTGTTATATAACTTGATATTTCATTAGTAGTGGTCTTTTTGCTAGCCTGTTGGTGAATTAACTATGTGGGGTTGTATCGCGGCCCAGTGAAGACTATGTCTAATATTGAGATGATACGGTGACCGTACATTTGAACCCATGTGTATATCCACGGGTTCAATCTATATGCGGGTGCTAAAACCCATGGGTTAGGGTTAGTATGGGTTCAACTATCCGAAAAACAAAAAAAATTCCATAGGTGCAATAGCATACAGGTGCAATTGTCATGGGTTCAAATGTACGTGGGTTCAAATGTAATGGAACCAGATGATACATGTCGAAACTGTCCGCAAATTAGTCACGCCATGCAAATCATATCCACGTAAGCTCGTTTCTAGTATGTGTTACGATACTGGATGCTCTTTTCACGAATTTCAGATCATGCAATTGCTATTTGACTATTCAAGGGGATGCTATGACTGGGTTCTTACAATAGCTTTAACTGAAACATATTGAAAGGATTTTGTCGCTGACGAAATAAAAGCTAATTTAGAAGACCGTAAAATTCAACCGCTGTTTGTCTCTATATAATTTCATGGTCTTAATCGAGGTTATTTTAGGGTTTCTATGTATTCTGACAGTCTGTTTCACTTTTTCGTTTGCATTATGACGAGGTGATATTTGTTTGCTAGTCCGGAATGCCGTATTGGGTACATAAACGAGCCGAATGTAATGTCCTTCAAATATCTAAATTTTGCTGAACAAGGAACAAGTACTTTCGCTATGTTAAGCAAGGACAATTTACCTTACCTTTCAGACAAATAAATATTCAAATTAAGCTTAAGGGCACAATGGACAAAAATTTCCCAACAGATCACCACATTGTCAGCAAGTGACAGCCTGAATAAGTTTGAACAATGACTCAATACTTCCAATGTTATGACATACCTTGCTAACAAAATTCCAAGTACTAGTAAAATAAAACCAGGAAGTGCTGTTCTGTTTACCATGGCCCAAGCAAGAATATGACATCGTTTATGACAAAGTATATACTTGTATATGTTGTGCATATATATTAGTCATGACACGCAAATCCTTGGAAATGTGGAAAATCGTGCAAGGAAGTGTGACGCTTGTTATTGAGCGTTTGAAACAAATAATACATTACTTCTTGGTGGCATCTAGCGGGTCGCCAAATTTTGAATGTAAATATTTATACCAAAAATTGTAGAGGCTTGGGTTCTACAAATGTACTCCAAATGATTATATATTCGGTGTTTGCTTGTCATTGGATCTTTGAACTCCAGTATAGAAGCAACTCGCAAAAACAAGAATCGTACAATACACTAAATATGCGCTGATGTTTATTGTTCTTTTCGTCGATAAATCGTCGATAATCGACGGGCAATCGTAATGAAGGCAATATTTAACATCTCTATTTGGCTGTGATTGAAAATGAATGCCCGCTTCATAATGTAAAGTCAAAAAATTTTGAAGCGTTCTTTTAGTGAATTTTTCTGCGTCACGTCTTCCGCAGCGAGAAGTGGAACTTTCACCGTCTGGTTCAGCATAGGTCCAAATATTGAATAAATTTTATTTTGTCAATGCACTGTCGCTCAGCGTTTTTAAGTAAGCCGTGACTACTTTGATCAAAAAAGGCTGGTTTTAAAAATAATTGCATATAGATCGTTTTCCCATGAGACACAATAATTCACAGCGCACATGTCACCACTTTCTACACACGAGCATGAAACATGTCAAATTAACAAGTAAATACCCCTCGCCCATTCGCTATACTTTATTTTCTAGAGACAATACGATAGGTGTCTTCTGTCCCAAGCGAAATAACTCGACAATTTGGACTCGGGCACTGCGAAACTGTTTAGATCAGTCACATCACGCAAATAACTGGTAGAAAATGATATAGAAACCAGAAAGTGTGACGTTTGCCATACATAGTGCATCTTAAAGACAACTTTGCTATGCGTTGGACTAGCTTAGGAGATGAGTTCAACCTCTATTCTAAAACCTCGTTTCGGACTCACGGAATGGCAAATTCTATAGAAATGGTCAACGAATTAGTTTGAGCGCATGAAATTTAAAAAATGTTATGTATAGGTTATGAGTCCCCCATTTAACAATCTTAAAATTATTCAATGTACTATTAATGTCGATGATTATTTCAGTACATTTCAATGTCACTAATCGAAAGTAAAGCTTAAATTTTAATATTGCGTTCACCAGGAAACCAAATACACATCTACGAACATATTAATAAATAAATAAAAAAGTATAAACCCTTATCATTATGAGAACATTGCAATTAACGCTGCATTAAATAGTAATTTAATCGCTTTCTTCAAACAACGTTTGATAATTTTGAAGATATTTGCATACGCCTAATGAAAACTGCCATCAACTTTATCAGCAATGTCAGGACCCATGAAATAGTTCATGAACTAATATTAAAAGCCGAAGATGTTTGCTTCGTTCGCATCAATAGTGTAACCGCAATTCAATTCGATAAAAATTATTTACCTGTTTTGTGGGTTGTGATTCGTGTTATACACTAGTTATGTGAATATATAAACACCTACATCGGAAGAACGAGGCTGACTCTAGAAACAATGACTCTCGGGTCAAAATGATCAAATATGAACCGATGTCATGAATATTACAAAGCTTTGCCTGCGATGAGTGTACACCGCGGATCCAATAATACTGTCAATATTATTACCATGATATTACGAACACATGCGTATGAAAAAATACACAAATTCCAAATTTATATTTACGAGGTACAACAAAAACGATAGATTCAGGCGAATAGATTCCCGAATTAGTGTATAAAATAAATTGGAAATTTCGGGGCATAATACATTCCTACAACCATATATAACGACTTACGAATATGAATATATGTTAAAGGGGAATGAATGTTGATTAGAGATTTCAAAACAACCAAAACCAAAAACATTGTCGGTATTCAAAAAATTGCGGTTGCAAATTCATGAATTTTCCTAAACGCAAATCAGGACAAGTGTTCGAATCAGCAATTGCTTTCGAATTCCACTAGTCATGTAGGTTAGTCATCCATTTTATGGTTATCAACTTTTTTAACGAGTAAATTACATGAGGAACACGGAAGTGAAAGTAAATTTAGTTTTTCGAAATGATATTGGACCTCATGATTCAAATGAATATGAATATATAATAATATCGAGTTAGTTAGTAAATCGATTTTATTTGCAAACCCTATAACATTGACCTTATAATTTGCAAAGTGTTATTTTAAAATATGTAAGATTTATACCGAGTTTTTATTTAGACTTTTTACATGCATCATGGAAATATCAAAATGCCAGTGATATGAAACGACATTGCTTCATCAGTACAAACTGTTTTATTCATTATGGA